TTACTGCTGTGGTAGTGGCTGATTTCTCCTTCCACTGAATGACTTTCATTTATCTTGCCCTCAGTGCATACAGCAAGGGATCCTACAGAGTACACTAGAGGTCCTGATGCACCTGTATTCATAAGCAATTACTACTCTGATGTGCTGCCGTATTTAGCGGTTGGGATAAATTTTTACATGGTTTATGAACTAATTTCTCCCCTCTCCTCCCCTGCCAAGATTTAGTATGGATTGGTTAGGGTGAAAGGGTTTGTGGAGGCCAGAACTACTGCTGCATGGACAAAGAACAGCACAAATGCTGCAAACTAGGAAGTTTTCTCCAGAAGCTACTTTATTCTGCAATTTCAATCATGCAATCCAGCTGTGACAGCACAGCAAAACAACATATTTACAAAACCAAGGGCAAGAGGTTATGGGGTGAATGTGCATCTCTCTGGGATCCCCATTCTCCTTCATTTTCTTCAGTCTGCAAAGGACTGATGGGGGAGCAGGAGAAAAGAAAACTGCCCCAAGGGTGGCACTGTCAAAACCTGCAACACAGCACAGAGTGGGCAGTGCAGGGATGGGCTGCTGAGTCAGTCTTTCTTGAGCCCTTGTATATTCAGTGGAGGTTACATGAAGGAACTGCTGGTCTGCACAACTTGTTTCCTCTTTTGCTGGGAAGAGACTGGCCTTGCCCTGCCCCATCTTTCAGAAGTGAACCTTGCGCTCTCCTCCATACATTGGGATGATCACTCCAACCTCCTTCAAATCTTCCTCTGCAGGTCCTGAAATGACATGGACATTCTTTGCTTTCCCCAGGTTTGTCCACCACTGAGGATCCTGGTCACTCAACTCTGTCCCATTAGAATGCGACTAACCAAGACTGTTCATTGCAAGCAAAATGCCCTGAACTGATGTGAGTGTTGAGGATGCGAGTAAAGGCGTGCAAAGCAGTGTCTGAGGGAGGAAAGGTGGAAGAGCCTGCCCTGAATGGTGCCGGAAAGACCGAATGAATGAAAGAAAGGGCCATATGCACTTCTGCAGGTCCAAAACTGGATCATGGGGGAGACATACAAAGGCACATGCTAATTAGCATGTGTCACAGCAGACTCAATTGGGCCTGCAGAGAATCTGCTGGAGCATGTTAATTAGCGTGCTCCAGCAGCCTCTGCATCACACCTTTTCAGCATCTCCACATTTCAAAATGGCTCATTTGATGAGATTTATTTAAATCAACCCACCACCATTTTGAAGCATGGAATGCTGAATACATGTGATGCTGCAAGCGCTTTAATTACAGCGGCTCTGAAAGCCTACACCTAGACATGGAGTAGCAGCCAGAAAGGCAGTGTGCTGGCCAGGGCTACCAAGGAGGTGGCCAGAGTTGAAGGATTACTGGGAAGGGGCTTGGCAGGTTACAGAGATGTGGACACTTTCACTGTCATGGAAGACTCCCTCTGCCTTTGAAAATGGTTAATGGCAGCAAGCATGTTACCTCAGACCCTCTCCCTGACCACGTGAGGCTAGCCTGCCCATTGGTACAGCAGGCATTACAACAGAGAATTGCGTACCTGGCATGGAGGACCCTTCATTCCATGACTCCTCCTCCAGCTGTTCAACCAGCATCACCTCTGTCATGTCTGGATCCCTGGAGTCCCCAAAGAGACCTTGCAATCCCAGCAAGATCTCTGCCATTGCCCAGACTGGCTTTGTGGTGTCCTGGTTTAGAATCATTGCTGTCCTCCATGGCTCTCATCACAGCACTGCATGCAGCCTCTGTGCTACCCAACAGCACATCAGGCTGCATGGAAAAGTGAGTAGGGAGGGTTCAGGTCCAGCTCTTTAGATATTGAGTTCACTTTCCATCCTACACCTGAAGCATGGCCCCAGCTTTATCTGCATCAAAACTACAGTCCCTCCACATCCTCATGGCTCAGCCCTCTGCTCCAAGAACTTACCTTCTCAGTTATAAAGCTCACTGATATAAAACTGCTGGACCAGCCCCTCAGGCCTGGTTCCAGTATGCTCTCTTCCAAGCCACACTAGCAGCTGAAGCAAAAAAAAGCTCAACTGGTACTGGAGTCTACTGCAATAAACACCATGTACACATCAGTGCCAGTACCTGTGCTCCACTACTTATGCAGGCAATGGATTTATTATGACCTCTGTATTAGGCAGTGCATAGCAAGCAGACAACTGGGGCCACCTACACAGTGGCCAGTGCACACAAGAAGGTGGGAACAGGACTCAGCACAATCAAAGCAACTATGCCAGCAAACTCCTGCCCACAGTGGCTGGGAACAGAACTCTAAAGTGAACAGGTCTCATTCAAAGAGAAGTGTGACAGCAAATGCATTACTGCATGGGGAGGGGGGTGGGGGGTGGAGTTGACAGCCATTCTCTTCAGCACACCTTGAACAACTCCTCTACAGTAGAGGAACCTTCAGATTCTACTGGCCAGGAAATACTACAGAGAAATGTAAAAAGACTTACAAAGGCCATACTTCTATCCTCTTCTGCAAGAGCCATAATGCTGTCACATCTCCTAGGCATAAGGGACAACTCCCTCACCTCAAGGAGGTGACTGACAGCTCTTTGCCTCCCCTCCAAGTACAGAAGATGGTGTGTCCCCCCACTTCTCTCAAGAAGGGGCTGCGAGCCCACCCCACCCATCCTTCCAGAGACCCGTCCTGGGAAATACTTACTTGCCATGCTGCCTCCCTCAGACACTCAGGGCTGTCACCTACCTGTTGAGAAGAAAACAGGAGAGTCAGGAATTGCACAAAGCCTCAGCGTGGCAGCCCCTTGATTCCACCAAATTGGAAGGAAAGCTAGCACTTTCTGGGGCCCAGGTTGGGGAAGCCTACTACAGTTCTTAGCTACATGCTCTTCCTCCCTGAGAAACTCTGATTTATTCAACATTTCCTAAAGGCATCTTTAGTACCTGCCATGATAAGCAGCCTGGCAGCTGACCCTGGAGCCTTTTCCAGATCATCCAACCTGCTTTCAGCCCTCCCAGCGTGCACTTCCATTCAGCCTCTGCTCCCTGTATCACAGCTCCCCATTCTGAGGTGTGACCCCAGAATGCCCTAAGCAACAGACCCTAAAGTCAACAGAAATTCCCATGTTCAACTCTCTGGGAACAACATGCACCACTTCAGCCAGGAATGAGGAAAAAGCACATCCTCATGGCTTGTTACTCATCAGTTGTGCAGAAGATAAAGCACACATCCCAGTCCGTACCTTTTACCCAGTTGCCTCTTATCGTCTAGCCTTAGGAGGGGAGGGGGAAAGAAACATGCAAGCTCACAAAAAGTGCTTTTCAGGTTGTGTCTAACACCCAGCTCCATCCTGCGGTCAGGCAGAGAGCTCCTCCTTGCCAGGGAAAGCTCTTCCTACTGGTTTGAGAGCACAGAGCCCAATCCTGCAACCTGCTAAATAGCCTCAGCTCTCAAACTTGAGAGGGATCAAGGTCACTCAAACAGTTCACAGGATCAGCCCTGTAAAATACGAACCCTGGTTGCCTAGAAGCATGCAGAACCCAAAGCCAGCCAACATTCTGAAATCAAGTAAGATCACCTCACCAGAGGAGAGGTCTGATGACAGTTGGCTTACAAAGCTTGCAGTCACCAAGCTACTGGGCTGGAAAAATGGCCCTGAAACTTACTAGCTTTAGGATTAATACCCAGGCAGATGACAAGGGAACACTCCTACACAAGCCCTGCCTGGTTTGATAGTTTCTAGGGGTAGGGACCACCTGTTTGTTCTGCATTTATACAGCAACTAGCAGAAGTGCACACTGGCCCACACGTTGAGCTCCTGGACACAAATACTAGAAACAAATGTCTTAAAAATCCAGGAATTTCATCTTTCCAGCAGCAGAAAGCAGCTGTTTCTGATCTCGGAGAAACATGGAGACTGATCCTCACAAGCCGCCTTTCTGCTTACCCCTACTGCGCCTACCACTCAACACCACAACTCCATTCCTTCAACATGGCAGCAGTCCCTGTACTAAGAATGATTAGAAAAAACAGAGTAAGTCTGCAGATGATCAAAGTAAAGCTTTCCAAGGCATGGAGCAATGGCGCTCGCAGTCTGCAAAAAGACTGACTGCAGAACTCAGGCTGGAACTGAGCTAAGGAGATAATAAGTGTGAGAACTGCCTGCTCACATGCCACCACAGTCAAGTGCAGGTGCTTTTAGGGCTGGAAAATTTGTTTTTGTCCCTCTCTTTTTCTAAACCTCTGGACGAGCAACCCAGGAAAGAAGCTATGACATGAAGTGGCAAAGCCCTGGGATCCTGAAGTGTCCTCCAGGATCTTCCCTGAAAAACAAGATGGTTGCTGATGTCAGCCCTGAGCAGAAACAACCCTGGCTACTATTTCCTTAGTCCTGTTTTCATTAAGAAAAAAAAAATCCATGTGATGAGGGAAGGGTGGGTGCAAGGAGAGGGCTGCCCACAGATCCCTGTCCTCTCCTGCACTTCCAAGTGACATGTAGCTTTATACCTGTGTCCCCTCTGAAGCCCACCCTGCCAACGCTGGGACAATGCCGGGGGGGGGCATGCCACTGTTCCAGCCCGACCCTAGAGAGGGACCGGGCTGGGGCAGCTCGCGGGCAACCCCCACTAGAGCAGCTAGGGGCTGGCAGCGGGCGGCCGCGCTCCCACTGGAGACCCTCCCCCACCCACCCGTGCACGCGGCTGCGGGGCCCTTCAGCGTGCGACGCCTCCCCGGGGCTCCTCCAGCCCCTTTCCGTGCCCGGCGCCTCTTTTCCACCCCTGGCGGGGGGTGCAGTTTCCCCCCCGCGGAGGATCTTCCTGGCCGGGGGCGGACAAGCCTGGTCCCCGCCCCCGCGTGCTTCCCTCCGCTATAAATACCGCGGCCACAGCAGGTTGCCATGGCGACAGCGAGGAGGCGGCAGGGATGCGCCGCTAGGCTGCTGTTGCCGCTGCCCGCCCCTGCGCTGGGGCCACGCGGCGGCCCCGGAGCTCCCGTGGGGGGTGGGGGGAGGAGAAGCGGAGGCTGCTGACTCGTGGGGGAGGGGCCCCGAGACCGGGGAGAGGGCGAGGAAATGCCTGCCTGCCTACCTGCCTGCCCTGCCCTGGCCTGGCTCCCGCCCCCGCCCCGAGTACCTCATGCCCCGCGGCGCGTCCAACCGGCAACTCCCACCCGAGCCTCAGCAGCCGCCACCCGCTGAGAGAAGGGGGCGGAGTCGCGCCGCCCGCCTTGACCAACACCAAAACAAGACGGTGGCAACGAACCAATCACACGGACGCTAAGGCGGTGGCGCTCCTTCCCATCTGCCCAATCGCGGGGCGCGGAAGAGGGGCGCCGCCTTCAGTTGTAACCAGTCGTGGGCTGGGAAGGTGGGGCCTTGCCCCTGCCGCGTCCAATCAAAGATGCTCTGGCAGGGGTTGTTTAAGAGTGGGGTGCGGGGGCTGCTGTCTCTGGGGTTTGGTGGTGCTAGTGGCGTCTGAGCTCGAGGCGGGGCGCTCGCCGGGGGGAGCCGGGAGCCCCGCCTGGGCCGCGCTGTGCGGGGTTTCCTCTGCTGCTGCCCGGGTGGGGAGGTAGGTGCGCTCTGGATGCCGCCTTCGTCCGGGCAGCCACTCTGCTGCCAGGCGCTTGGTGCGGCCCTCTGCGCTCGGGTCCTGCTGGAAGAGAGTGCGGGTGCAACGGGCCGGCCCTACCTGCTGGACCCCTGCACTCATCGGGCCAGCTCCAAGCATGCTGCCTTGCTAGGAGGCGGTGAAGTCGGCAGGCAGCTGCTTTTGGGTGCAACAGAAAGTTCAGGCAGTGGTTGGTTAGCCAAGGGTGTTACCTGTATCGATGTCTGTTCAGCTTCTTTAATAGTAATATTAATAATAAATGTATTTCATGTTCCAGGTCAAATCAGTTCCAAATCGTATCAATTTGAGCAGAATTCAGTTGTTCCAAACACCATGTATGGTGCTATAACCATAAGATGGGTAAGACTGACTCCATCATGGAAGGCCATGGGCCATTTACTCACGGAGATGGGAGCACAGGTGGTATTTTCCTCCATCCCCCTGGTAAGTGGACGGAGTAGACGCTACGAGGCCTGTATCGGTGTAGTTAACTGGTGTCTTTGGAGCTGGTGCTACGAGGCGGGCTTTGGATTTCTGGACAATGACCCATATTTCTGGGCTGAGTGCATGCTGGGGTGGGATGGACTACATCTCTCACTCAAGGGTAAATGCATTTTTTCCTCTAGGTTGGCTGATCTCATTTGGCAGGCTGTAAACTAGCTTTGTTGGGGGAAGGGGCCACCCAAGGAGAAAGGGATGTTTTGCCAACTAGCAAGGTGACAGGAGAAACAGAAACCCAGGTAAGCAACAACAGGCACAGCAGTCCTGGGAGCAGGGGGGAGGTACATGCACTCTCAGGAGGCCTCACATGTCTGTACACTAATGCACGTAGTATGGGGGGCAAGCAGGAGGAACTTTGCCTTCTGATAGCAGGGAAAAATCCAGACTTAGTGGGGCTCACAGAAACCTGGTGGGATCCTACCCATGACTGGGTGGTGGGCATTCAAGGATACATACTATATAGAAAAGACAGGACTGAAAGGAAAGGTGCGGGGGTCGCCCTCTATGTCAAAGAGCAACTCACATCGTCAAGAATTAGCCTTGGGGCAGAGGAAGAGGCACTATGGGTCAAATTTCAAGAGGGGGCAAGGCAAAAGGGATCTTACAGTGTGTTTCAACTATAGAGCACCCTGCCAAGGGGTTGAGTTGGACCAGGATTTCTCAGTACAGCTTATGGAGGCAGTTGGGTCTAGGGATGTCATTGTCATGAGGGACCTAAACTATCCAGATATCTGCTGGGAGGAACAGTCAGCCAGGTCTGACCGTTCGCGTAGGTTTCTAGCTGAAATACAGGACCACCTTATCTAGGAGGTTCACAGCCCCGCTAGGGGAGATGCCTTGCTGGACCTGGTCTTGGCCACTGGGGATGACCTGCTGAGGGGACTGCAGGTCCTTGACCACCTGGGTGACAGTGATCATCGCCTGCTGGAATTCACCATCCAGCGCAGGATGTTGAGGGCTTATACCAAGACTAAACCCCCTGACTTCAGAAGGGCCAACTTCAATGAATGTAGGAGATTAGTGAGGGAGGTGCTGAGGGCCCAAAATGTAGAGGATATGGGAATCCATGAGGGATGGTCATACCTTAAGGGGACGATCCTCCAGGCTTAGAGTATGACAGTCCCTGAGAGAAAGAAGAGGGGAGGTAAGAGAGCTCTGAAACCCCCATGGCTCAGCAAAGGCATTCGAGAATGCCTGAGGGCCAAAAGGGAGGCGTAAACCCGGTGGAAGAGAGGGGTTATCATCAAGGAGGAATACTCCTCCTTGGCCCATGAGTGTAGGAGGGCCATTAGGAAGGCCAAGGTGGGGGTGGAGCCCAGACTAGCGACCAGGATTAAGGACAACAAAAAGTCCTTCTTCAAATACATTGGGAGTAAGAAGAGGGCACCGGGTAATGTAGGGCCCCTGTTAAACTCAAATGGTAATCTTGTGGCTATGCCAGATGAGAGCCGAAATTTTTAACAAGTTCTTTGCCTCTGTTTTCTTAGACAGGGACCAGGACAGCTCTCCAGGTAGGGGCAATCTTGGGGATAGCACTGCCAGGCCTTGGGTCTGCGCAGAAGTAGTTGGGGATCTTCTGGAAGGGGTGGATGTTTTTAAATCTGTGGGCCCTGATGCTCTCCACCCACCGGTGTTGAGGGAGCTGGCGGGGGTCATTGCTGTGTGCCCTTAGCCCGGCTATACAAGCGATTGTGGTCCATGGACCAGGTGCCCAGAGATTGGAAACTAGCTAATGTGGTTCCCTTTTATAAGAAAGGGAGAAAGGAAGACTCAGGAGACTATAGCCCCATAAGCCTCACATCAGTCTTGGGGAAAATCCTTGAAAAAATTATCAAGGATCACATCTGTGAGGGGCCAGCAGGGGAGATCATGCCCAGGGGAAATCAACATGGGTTCATCAAAGACAGGTCCTGCCAGACCAACCTGATGGCCTTTTATGACCAGGTAACTAAATCACTGGATGATGGTATTGCCGTGGATGTAGTCTTTCTGGACTTTAAGAAGGCCTTTGACACTGTCTCTCACCCCATTCTCATTAATAAATTGAGCAACTGTGGCACTGATGCCTACACATTTGGATGGGTCAAAAATTGGCTGATGGGGCGCCCCCAGAGAGTGGTGGTGGATGGGTCGTACTCGACCTGGCAGGATGTGAATAGTGGGGTCCCCCAGTGCTCGGTCCTGGGGGCCTACACTGTTCAACATCTTCATCAGCGACTTGGACGATGATTGGCAAACTTGGACAACATGTTTTCCACCAGGAAAACACATTGTCCAAGTTTGCTGATGACACCAAGATGTGGGGAGAGGTAGGCACACTCGAAGGGAGAGAGTGGCTGCAATTGGATTTAGACAGACTACAGAAGTGGGCAGATGGTAATAGGATGGGGTTCAATGTAGATCAATGCAGGGTGCTGCACCTGGGGAGAAGGAATCCACAGCATACATACAAGCTAGGGAGCTCCCCCCTTGTGAGCACAGAAGTGGAAAGGGATCTTGGAGTCATTATTGACTCCAAGATGAACATGAGCTGCCGATGCCAGACCGCAGCCAGCAAAGCCAACCACACCTTGTCATGCATCCAAAGATGCATCTCAAGCCAGTCCAGAGAGGTGATACTCCCCCTCTATGCAACATTGGTCTGGCCACAATTGGAGTACTCCATCCAGTTCTGGGCACTGCACTTTAAGAAGGATGTGGCCTGCCTTGAGAAGGTTCAGAGGAGGGCCACCTGCTTGGTTGGAGGGCAACAGGGCAGGCCCTGTGAGGAGAGGCTGAGGGACCAGAACCTGTTCAGCCTCAGCAAGCAGAGGCTGAGGGGCGGGACTTGGTGGCTGTCTACAAACTCGTTAGGGGAGAGCAGCAGCAAATAGGAAGAGTCCTATTCCCCCCACAGCAGCACCTGGGGTGATGGGGAACAATGGCCAGAAGCTGCTGGAGAATCGGTTCAGGTTAGAGATTAGGAGGCACTATTTCACTGTTAGGGTAGCTAGAATCTGGAACCAACTTCCTAGGGAAGTGGTCCTCACTCCTATCTTGGGTAAATTCAAAAAGAGGCTGGATGAACACCTGTCTGGGGTCATGTGATCCCAGCGTGTGCTTCAGCCAGTGGTGGGGTGTTAGACTAGATGATCTATTCATGTCCCTTCTGACCCCTACTATGAAACCAGCCAGCATCCTCCATCCCAGGCTCTTACCCTGGGACTTCAGATACTCCCAAATTCATTGGCAGGCATCCTACATGCAGACCTGAGCCCAGAGAGCTTGGGATTCAGCTGCCCTCACTTGATCTTAGTTCACAAAGACTTTTTTTTTTTTTTTTTAAGGAAAAGTTTGTTGTGTTCCAAGACAAATCAGCCAAATCTATTTCAGATCCATGAATCATTTAAGAACCATATATGGCCCTACTACCAGCAGACATCTTCCACCTCCACCTGGAGATTCGAATGTTTCCAGATCATTTGGTGGGCATTCTACGTGCAGACCCAAGCCCAGATGCTTGGGGTTCAGATGCCCCTAGGTTTTGCTTGCCCTCGGCCATATGGCTGCAGAAGCAAGCTAAGGAGGAGTCTCCCAGTTCCATAAAGTGGGTGCAAAGCCAAGATCTTCCCAGTGGAAGAAAGTGTGGGAATTACGCTTTCCCACTGGAAGAGAAAGTGGGAGGGATACATGACTTCTGTGGGTACTACCCCATGCCAGAAAGGTGGCTAACCCCTGTCCCTGGGAAAACCATCATGGTGATTGACAGAGGTGATTGATCATCACCTCCCCTGCAAGGTGATCTGAGTCTAGGCTTTGCTGCCTCAAGCACCCTGCAGGGGCTTTTTACTGCAAGTGCCCTGGCCACGTCCTTGCCGCTCACAGAGGGTGATTACCACCATCAAGCCTCTGAGTACCGAGCTCACAGGCATTGCCCAGAGATTTCTTGCCCTTTTTTTGCTCATTCTCCTCTTTAGGTCTCCTTAGCTCTCTTAGGTCTCATTTGCCTCGGATCATTCAACTGTCCAGTTGCTGAGGTTCTCTTAGATCTTAGCAGCAAAGGAAGATGGGCTGCTAATTTAGCTGTATGATTGCTTTTAAAGAAGCACAAGGAAACTTGAAACCTGGACGATGAGTGCTCCTGGTCTGATCTGTGCTCACAGCTTCTCTGTTTGATTCTCTTTGCATAGCAGGTCTGTGATCTACAGTTGACAAGCTGCTGAGATATGGAATGTAACAGATCTCAACAGAAACTGTCCACTGGTCTGGGACTGAAGGGTAACCATGAGCTTGACTTGTGCCTCCTGCCCATAGTTGCTGTATAGCAGGGGCAGGCAAAATATGGCCCACTAGCCACATCTGGCCCTGGCCCATGGAGCATCATTGTAGTGTGAGTGTGTTCGTAGGGTGAGTCCCACATGCACACCCCACCGTGCACATGCACCAACACCCCTCCTTCACACTACCATACACACAGACCCAGAACACCCACACACCTTCACATCCCAGCCACCCTCCCCTGCACACACAGCCCCCCATAAGCCCCATACCCACCCACATGCTTCCTCACCCCACACCTGTCCACCCTCCAGACACATCCGCATCCTCCCCACATACCACCCACAGCCCCCGACAAACCTATACCCACCCCCCTATAATATACAAGAGTAAGACTGCATTTTAAGCTATTATATACAATTACCTCTATGTACACTACACAAACGCATGTAAACCAGGACAAAAGTATCTTTTTAAATCAAATTAATGAATGTTTTAGATATTCTAAAAAGTGAATATAATTTGGTATTTTTCTGGTTCTGAGATAGCCAAACCCTTTGCTGAAAGGCATACTTCCATGGGCAAAGGGAGAAACTTCTGGTGGCAAAGGTCAGGGGTTAGGGGCAGGACTTCCAGTCACAAGATGGCAACCAAGGGGCAGAGCTACCCATGTGGCCCTCAACAGCTTGCCAAAACTTGCTAATCAGCCCTCCAGCCAAAATAATTGCCCACTCCTCCCCTGTAATCTCCTGCAGTGGATCTAGCGTTGTACACATGAACATTGCACAGACTAGATTTTAACTCTCAGTGCAGTCCATAAAAAAAAAAAAAAAAAAAACTCCCACTAAAGTCAGTAGGAGTCAAATCAAGCCTAACAGGGGCTTGATCCTGTGAAATAAATTCACTCCGAGTAAAAAGAGCCTAGTACGTAATGGGAAGAAAACAGGTCTATTTGTTGGTGAAACAAGCCTTATGAAAAATTAAAAACTGAACACTGCCAGGTGCCTTTGGAAATGCCTGAGCCGCTGCCTAGCTTCTCAGAGCCCTAGCTTGAACTGTTCTCCATGGCATGCTGCCTGCCTCATTTTTTTCCTAAGATATTTGTGGTTCAAATGGGGCTGGGGACTGTGCTAGAAAGTGGCCAAGCAGAGGGACAGGCACCTTTACCTACAAATGAGAACTGATGTCAACACTGCTGATGGATACTCAGGATTTGGCTTTGCAAAAGCAGAGGGAGAGGCAAGCAGCTAAGTCCTTGGAGTTGCTGGCCCAGGCCCAAGGCTCCCCGCATTTGGGACAGCCTAGTGTTCAGCAGGGTCATCAATCTTTAATCCAGAGCACAAGGTATTTCTTTGTGAGTTTCATGTGTAGCTGAACCAAAGCTGGAAGGCGAGACACCCTCAGAAGGTTTGGGAACTAGCTTCGCCACTGGAAAACAATATCTCAAGAGTCTGACAGTCTTGAACTTTGCAACATTCATCCTCTCCCTCCTCAACACTGCCCCCTCCACCTCAAAATTCAGCAAGGCGGGGAAGTGTGCTACTTCTAGTGCTCACTAGGGGTCAGCAGGAGCTCATGCTGGAAAAGAAATGGATACCACAACTGGAAAAGAGATGGAAAACCAACACTGCTTCAGGGGATATGATTATCTTCCCCTCTCCCATATAAGCTCAGTTAATGGCTGTGGTGTTTTCAGAACTGTGCCTGTTTTGCTGCAGAGGTTCAGTTTCAGTGCAGAGGTGCATGCACAAATACAGTGCAGTATGCTACAAGCACAATCCCAAACCTAGCACCATCTCTAAACAGGAGAAAAGGTCACCCCTGTGGGATGCTGCAGTGTATTCTGTTTCAGGGTTACACAATGCAGTAGGAAGCCCCTGGCTGGAGTTGCACCATGGGCAATGCTGGGCCATTGGAGGTGATGGTTAAAATGCCACAAGGTGCAAATCCATGTTCCACTGCAATGAGGACCAACCTTTTTTGGCAGATATGCCACACATTAAGCCCAATGCCCTTGAGTGCCACTCTGATCCACTTCCCCTGCTCAATTTGCTGCTCTTTCTGCTCCTTGCCCTGTTCCATGTTCTGCTCCCTGCCCTATCTGCCATTGTGCTGCCTGCCACCTACCCGGTCTGCAATGTGCCATACATAGTCTGTCAGCTTGTCAGATGTGCCACAGGTTGTCCTCCCTTCTACTGCATTGGCACAATGCAGCTCACAAGCAGTGATGGTGGCACTTTGTTTGCTGGGTAGCACAAGGGCTGCCTAATAAGCTGAGTCAAGGTGAGCAAAGGTTTAAGAGTGGTATCCCTGGGAGCGAGTTGTGAGTATGGAGCCAATCACCTTCAGTTAGCTGGTTCTACCACAGTCCAGGAGAGCATGGGGTGGAAACCTCGCCAGGTGCTGTCTGTTTGGTAGCCTAGGAAATGAAACAAAGCACCTTGCTGTCCTGTCTATTGGGCTGCCATAGTCTGATGCAAAGGGCTGTGCTGCCCCTTCAGTCTCAAATAAGCCCCCAACACTCTCCTTTGCTTCCTTGCTAGATGGGAGGATGTTCTCACAGCTGGATCATGTCTTCAGACTATCAGACATCCTGCGCACTGTTCCTAGACTAGCTGGTCTCTAAACAGGAGCCAAAGGATTGAGATCTTAAAAGCAGTGTCTTTCCTTCCTTTTTCATTCTCTGCTATATTGTATTCTTGGCAAAGCATCAGACACCAGGGAACATTCAACCCAGCCTTAGCCCTCCAGCCCAGAGCAGCACTGGTGTCATCACTCCATCTGCTCAGGCAGCCTGGTTCACTGCGTGGGGCAGCAGCTGCTATTGCTGGAATGGAAATCCATGTCCCTCAGGGCACGGAGACAGTTCCTGAGGTAACCAGCACCCTGAAAACTTGTAGAGGAAAGAGATGAGCCCCTGGGGGGTGCAGGATTTCCAGGGGATGGTGCTGAGCCGTTGGTCTTTGGGCTCAGGCCAAGTCACTGAGTGTCTTGGGCTCTGACTGGATTTTTTTCTCTTTGGCTGGAAAGTGCCAAATTCCTCAGGAAAACAAATGTAAAAATGCATGGGGGAGGAGGGAGAAGGTGTCCTGGACTTCTTTATTTTACTGCTTCTTGGTCCAATGTAGATTTTTCCATAAGCATGAGGGTATTTTCCTCTCATCTGTCAGTACCACAAGCTGCTTCAGGATCTGAAACCAAGCTGGGGCTGGCTGGTGAATCACCCAGGATGAAAGATTCTGCAGCCGCAACAGAGTGACAAAGGCCTAGATGATGCATGAGCCAGAGTATGCTCAGCAGGGAAAGCTATTTGGGGCCCTCTGAGGCAGGACTGTCCTGGTGGATACCCACACAGGTGCCAAACCCATATAGCTGGTTATTGTGGGACCTGTCGGTATATGGACGCTTAGCTCACAGCCCAAGAGGCCTGTTTGGATGTTGGCTTCAACACACTAAGGTGGGCACTGTGAGGTAGGGGAAGAGTGGCCCTCACATAGGACTTCTCTGAACTATGCCTGCACAACTGTAGATGCCTGGCTGCACATAGTCTGAAATGGGGGGGGGATCTCTCCTCCCTGTCCCCAAAGCCAGGAGCCCCAGCTCCTTTGCTCCACTTCTGTAAGAGTCCACTTCCAGCTGCAGTTCCACAGAACCTAGACCCCATCTGGCATAAGTGACTGCACTACGCACCTGCTTCAGAGAGGCACCAGCAATGATGTAAGCTGCTTTCCTACAGTCCTCAGGTACACATTGGAGGAGCCAGCCCAAAGATAGCCTCCTCCAAGGGAAGTGACTTCCAAGCCCACTGGAAACCACCTCCCTCAGGAGCCAGGATGTGACACAGACAGAGGTAAGACAGTCAGTGACAGAAGCAGGACTAGCCCTCTGCTCTTGATCCCAGCCAGGAGCACCAGACCACACTTTCTGATCTTTCTTTGGGCTGGCCCTCAGCCTTGCTGCATTTGGCCACAAGATGGGGCTATTGGAGCGGTTTGATATAAAATGTTGAGTCCCAGCAGATGCTATGCTCTAAAGTCAAAGCATGCTGAGAACTGGGGACCCTCAGTGCAGCCTCCTTACCCCCCAGATACCATCCCATTCCCATTCAAGGCAGCCCAGTGCCTAGCCAATGGCCAGAAATGCTGGCACCGCCTTGCTCCTTCCTGTGCTAGGGCATCAGCTGGCAACAGAGGCCCTTCCAGTTCCATGGCCCCTTTACCACTCTGGGATCAAGTCTCCAGCCAGTCACTTCCCACGTAGGCTGAGCTCTTCCTGGTGCCTAGAAGACGCAGCCAAACCAAGGGTCTGAGCAAAAACAGCTCCTAATGTGGAGGTTGCTGCTGCCTCTTGGTCTCCAGCCATACTCCAGCCTTCCCCCACTTTGGCATAGGATGTTGTGATGATTTTGCCCCATCCCCCCTGGAACCCCTTCCTGTCCTCTACTGTGAGGAACAGACTTCCTGGTGATGGGATAAAGAAGACATTTCCCAGGACCCCTGAGGTTACAGCATCTTAAACTTTATTGCATGCTTCAGCCCAACATACACATTAGCCACTGGAATACCAAGGCTCAGGCCCAATGTAAGTGTGGGAGCTTCCAAGCTCTGCCTGGGCCCCACAACTCACAACCTTCCAGGCAGGGCTCTGGGCCCTCACTCTTCTCCCTGACCCTCTCAGAAAGGCTCTGGTACAACAGGACAGGCCCATCCCACCCACACCTCTCACAGGACATTGGATATGCTCAGGAGTGGTCATAATCTGAAGCACAGATGGGGCCCTACACCTTTGGCAGAGATGTTGGCACACCCTGCTGTGATGCCTACAGATGCCTACTCCTGGAACACCCTGAAGTGAACTGCACCCCCTGCTGGAGACCTACAATGCTGTTCCCCATCCCACTTCCAACCATGGTGAGGATTTCCCCTCTCAGTGCCAGCTGCTTTGGGTCAGGTCCTGAGTACTGCAATAGCAAATGGCCAGGTCTGCTAGATTCCCTTTGCACTCATGCATGCCCCCAGTGGGAGGGAACCCTGTGGGTGACAGCCACTTTTCAACCAGCCAGTGTAAAGTCTCAGCTCTGCACGAGAAGGAGGCCACAATTTGCCACTCTGGCTGGGTCTTTCCCACGTGTGCTGGGTGCCTCAGGGTTCATTTCAGACAGGGCTGGCAGGCATCTACCCCATGCAATAGCATCATCTCCCCTGCTTGCTTCCCCGTATCCTCCACCTGCCTTTCCTCCCCCCCGTACTCCTCTTCCTCCACCTCCTCCTCTTCCTCCTCGCTGTCAGAGTCCTCATAGAGGTTGATGGTGGCTTGCACTGGGAAGTTCTCCAGCAGTTTCTCGCCCTCGCTGTACAGGTAGTCAAAGGACTTGGACTTCGGCCAGAAAAGTCTGGGGGAAAAACAGGCTTGAGAAATACAAGTTCTCTCACTTCCTCCTGGTAACAGCTAAGGGGAGGGAAGGCCCAGCCTGTCCTGCCAGGGGCCCTGTCTGGGACAATGGACGGTATGGGAGGGCATTAGAGAAGGGCAGGGACAGGGCTGGCTGTGAGAAGTAGTGGAGTAGCAGGAGCGGCAAGTCAGGCATGAGGACACTAGGAAAAGGGGGGCAGGGCTGGGAGAGCAGGGGGAGCTTCAGCATTGCTGCTTGTGTGAGATTGACATGACTGTAGCCAGCACCATTGGCCCCTCATTTCCAGGAGCTCTAAACTCCCCCATCAATGACAGGAAGCAGGCACCAGCACATGGGGTCCATCCTGCACACGTACCTGACAGGGTGCCGGAAAAGCGCCAATGCTTTGCTGGGCTCATCATCCTCCATCACCTCACCACCATAGGCCTTGGGAAACAAAAAGCAGGGGTTGGGATGTGCCATTTGCAATACACACACCACAGTCCTGCCCCAGAGTGAGGTTAGTGGTGGTGCAAGGGTTGGGTGAATGTAGCTGGTGCAATGGGCTCAAATGGAGAGGACTTGGATGCAACCAAGACAAGGAACAGTTCAGCTGAACAGTAGGAACAATCCCCTTGTCCGTCGGTTCCATCAGCCTGGAGCCAGCTCCTAAGTGGAGCAGCCACAGCCCCGTCACTTGAGTGATTAACCCTAGAGGAGAACTGAGCTCTATCCAGAGTAGTGGCCTGTCTCTGAGAGGAGCCAGCACCAACTTCATCAGAGAGTGAAACACTGAATGGTTTTTCCCTCCCATCAGGGACAGCCCTCTCCTGCCAATGGGCACTGGATGGCAGGTGCCCCCAGGCTCAAGGGCTCTTGTTGAATTCCTTTGATTGTGTGACCTATGCTAATGCAGGAAGTTCTTGATGCAAAGTGAATCCAGTTGGATAGTGCTAAAGCCCTTGGCCTTGGCAGCAGCCTTGGAAATTCACTGCCACAGGATATAACCAGCTCCAGATCTGCATCTTCCCCACATCCCCTTGTTCTTGGGTTAGATCCAGGCCAGCCCCAGCCCCAGCCCCAGCCAGTTCACTGCAAGGACCAGCTGTATACTGGCAGGGACAGGAAATCTCCACACAGGCCTTGCCAGCTCTAGATGCTACCATGTTGGGTGTTCCCCAGAGACTCTCACCAGGGAGCAGTCAGGGATCAAGAAGAAGCTCTGAGGAGTGACAGGATGAGAGGAAAAGGAGGGAAGTTTTGGCTAAATAGTAGGGAAAGCCTCAAGACTAGGAGACCATGGAATCTGTCTCAGGGAGGGGTGGGCTTAGTGCCTCAGGGGCTGCACTGCAGGCATGATGTGAGGGGCCAGATGCCCTCTTGAGGCTTTCCATCTCCCCTGGATCTGTGCATCCTCTGCCTGGCACCATTCTCCCCAAAGCTGACAGGACAGGGTTAAGGGAACTTAACCAGTGAGAACACACTGGTCACTCCCTGCCCCTCAGGAGATTGCACACAGCCAAGTAGGCTGCCCATACTGCATGGCCCACAGAGCAGATGCCAACCCCATGATGGGGTTGAACCTGCTCCCTAGGCCCCAGGGTAGCCACAAGGACCCCGCAGCCTTCACCCCACTGGCAAGACTGAGGAGAAAATGAAGGCACTGGCTGTCACTCTCATGAGGGTTTTATCCACTGTAATCTCCCCATGAGCCAAATCCCTGCCCAGCACTAGACTACCCCCCAAAGGAATTCCTGCCCTGGCCCAAGCAACAGGCCTCCCTTTCACACTTCAACAGAGGCCTCTGTGTTTGCTCAAGAGGCCTTAAACACATGCATCCTCCAGAGCTCCCATAGGCAAGGGGCCATGTGTGGGTTTGAGCCAGCAATCCCTTTAGAGCTTGGCAGTGCCCTACACAGTTGACAGCAGGAGGAAGTTTCACATCACAGCTGCTTGCCTTCAGAAAGAAGGACCCCCCCACACCACCCCTCCCACATCCCAGAAGGCTCCAGGAGAGGGAAGCCCTGATGTGAGGGCTTGAGGCCAAGATGAACCCTCCACTAAGGAAGGAAGGGATGGGCAGGGTCTATAAGGGAGTCAAGGAGTGCCAGCTGCCTGCTCTCAGGGAAGTGGTGCAAACAGGGCTCAGCAAGGTAAAGTTGCCTGCTGGCACTAGCCAAAGCTGCAGCTGACCCAGCCAAATGCTGTAACCAGGAAGCAGTATTTGTAGGCTCCAAACTCGGCACCAGCAGGGATGCTGTAGGACAGTGTCCCTAGTCAAGCAGCAGTCATGGTACCCTTTGGCCAAGCATAGGAGGCATCCACTCTGCCTTGCCCTGGCCCCTGCATGCAAACCCTGGTTATCTGCCCTCCTGGCACTAGCTCTGGCCCACTGTATCACGGGAAAAGTGACAGTGCTGAACTTTGGGGCCATGTCCCAGTGTCTCCAAGGGCTCCCTCAAGCAAGACTCATCCTGAACTGGAAAAAATTGATCCAGGATGAGCAGTGTAAATAGTGTAATTGAGCCCAGTTAGACAAGGGCCCCAGCTGTTTTAGCAGCTCTTTAACTGACTGGTGATTGTCAGTCTCATGGCTGATGTTAAAAGGGGTTCTAGCAAAGGTTTTTTTCTGCCTTGGATTTCTAAGGGCTGATGCTGAATCTTTGCAGGATCCCCCAGAAGGCAAACCATGTCCCTCATCTTGCTGCATCTGCTGAGAGGACATGGTACAGAAACTGCTGGGGGTCACAATGACCTCCCAACCTGGAAGGATTATGGCTACACCTAAGCAGCTCTGCACTTAGGCAAGTGATTCAACCAGACACGCAGCAGAGCTTGTCAGCCCTTGTGAAGAACTGAATGAGCAGTGGTGCAAACTACTTGGTGTCTGTGGACCCTGTGGGGGGGATCTCAGACTTCGCTCTCTGAAATTTTGTCTGTTTAGCCAGAGGTCCAGAAGTAAGTGTTAGACTCACTGTGTCCATCTCGTCCTCCTTCTGCTTTGTAATACCCTCAGCAGTGGGCAACCATGGTCTCCAAAGGGGCAGGGATCTGCGGGAGCAAGAGAAGGAGAAAGGTCTTGCTTGGACAAGTCAAGGAGCTTTGTGTCTTTGAGAAGCCCCAACTCACCCCAGCAGAGAGCAGCATCCCTGCCAAGGTGCACCCTCCTCCCCCCCA